TGGCACCTTCTTCCAGCGAAAAGTCCCGAGAGACTGGCACTATCTGGTCCAAAGAGACATCATCCCCGGTAATGGCCATCCTCCGATGTGTGTACAGGAAGAGACTAAGGGCAGGAAGCAGAGGTGAGGACAGTGCCCACTGGCTATCCCACGGGCCTATGTGGGGGCCTTGGGTGCTCACACTCCCTCTTTGGTCCCCAGGGCTATGCTGGTGATACCCAACTCTCCACACAATTATTTTTTTAATCAATTTATCTACCTATTTTTTAATTGAGATAATATTAGGACCCCCCATCAGGTATCACCACTATAGAGCACCTACCGCCAAGTCCCCCTAGTCTGCCTCCATAGCCCATTGTGCTTCCTTCCTTTTGTTCTTACGCCTCCCCCCATCCCATCTCCTCCCTCTGGATGCTTCAGTTCTACAGTCAACCTTCAAGCGTTAGTTTTTAAACTTGTCTTTATCTGACCCTTATTTCTCTTAGCATTATCCCTTCTAGCTCCATTCATGTTGCTGCAAATAGCATGAGTTTATCTTTTTTGACTGCTGAGTAATATTCCATTGTGTAAATACACCACATCTTCTTGATCCACTCATCTTTTCGGGAGCACTTAGGTTGTTTCCCTAATTTGGCGACTGTAAATTGCACTTCTGCATGCAATTTTATAGCTAGGTCATCAAAGCTAAACTTATCTCCTTTGCGGGAGCACCAGTTTTGTTAGTAAATACATACTTGATAGCCTTCTAGCATTGTGGGTACCTGTTACAGTGTAACTTAGTCACCCCACTTAGTCACCCTTTCCCTCTGAACCAGTTGCTCCATCTGTAAAGTGTGATTGGTGGATGAGATCATGTCTAAGAGCCCCCACCCCAGCTCTGAAAGTGAAGGGCTCACTTTCTGCCTATGAGAACTGTGACAAGTATTTTTTTATTCTTTCTCCTTCTTTGTAATATATGGGCCACACCGAGCACTTTCTATGTGCTTTGTAGTGTTTTAAACACATTACATGTAATAACCACTTTATTCTGGAAAAATTGAGGGAATAAAAGAACCTGCTCCAAATCATGGGGCTCACAAGTAATGAAGACTGGATTCGAACCAACTTAGGCAGTTAGGCATAAGGCTCAAGATCTGGAACAATATGACAAAATGCCTCTGCTCAAGAAGCTTCCTCATCACATTTTGCGAATGATATGGGCAAATGATAAGGGCTTAAAATTTAGCATTCAAAGGGCCTCCCCTGGTGGTGCAGGCAGTTGAGCGCAGCCCTGTGAAGCTGTCCACAGCCTCTGCAGCACAGGTTTGATCCTGGCAGGCCAGCAAGAATCCCACATGGCGTGGCAGACCACTCCTGTTTCGCCCGCTGCTCCCCTCAGCAGTGTATTTCAGTCAGTCTGCCTGTTCTGTTCCCTACTCTGTCTCTGGTAAATCCTCTCATCCTTCCGCGCATCTGGCCTGTACCCCAGTTCTTGTATGCATGAATAAATAAATCTTTAAAAAAAAAAAGCATTTAGCATTCAAAAATGTTAACTATCATTATCATAATTATTCTAGAAGACTCAGACTCTGCCCTAGAGGGATGGTTGAAGTCCTGTTGGAGGATACAGTGAAGAATAACCCTGGGTCAGACAGGCAAGGAGGGAACCCCTTACTTACGCGTATTCCTGGCCCCCACCTTCCAGGCGGTGGCGCACAAGCCCCAGGAGGCGGCTTTGCCTGCTGTCTCCCTCACACAGCATACCTTGTACCGCCAACAGTTTAGGGTCAAGGGAAATCTGAGCAAAATGGAGTCAACTCAGCCTGCCCCACTTTCCCTGCCCTTCCCTGGCCCATACAATTCACGGTGTGGCCTTGGGAAAGTTGCTTCACCTCTCTGTGCTTTCACCACCTGTGAAATGAAGGTTATGATTCCCACCTTCACAGGAGGTGGGAGGATACCACAATTTAAAGCATCGGGCAGATGGGCCTCCCCTGGTGGCACAGCAGTTGAGCACCGGGCTGCAAAGATGCCCGCAGCCTCTGCAGCACCAGCTCAATCCCCGGCCACTGGCGAGGGTCCCACATGGCACGCACACCTCTCCTGCCTCTCCTGCCTCGCCCGCTGCTCCCCTCAGCAGTGTATTTCGTCAGTCTGCCTGTTCTGTTCCCCGCTCTGGCTCTGGTGAATCCTCTCACCCTCCCGCACTTCTGACTGTACCCAGTGCTTGTATAAATAAATAAATAAATAAATAAATAAATAAATAAATAAATAAATCTTTTTTAAAAAAAAAGTTCTTAGTTTAAACAAATAAATAAATAAAGCATCCGGCAGCGAGTCCAGGAATAAGCACTTGGTAAATACTGTTTTTCTCCCCCTGTGATGGCACAGAGAGAGGGAGGAGAAGGGATAGACATGCAGACACCTTCCATTCTACTCCCAAGGATCCAGCAGGCCCAGTATTGGGGACTTAGTGCTGGGAAGGATACAATGATGCAATATTCCCCCGCAGTCAGAGTCTCCTGGATCGCCACAGACTGGTCCATACTGGTCCCTGCTGAGCAGACACACTGTGGGAGATGACAAAGAGGAATCCCATTTGGTCCACAAGTTACCCAGGAGGTGATGGAGCTGCCTTAGAGAGTTGGGGAGCAAGGAGGAGAGCCCTTTTTTGTTCAGGGAGAAGGTAGAGGGACCTGATCTTCTCCCTCCTCCTTATAAGGGCCTTTTAAAGTGTCCAGCTGGAGGGGTCATCCCTTTGGCCCTGGTGGGGGGTAACAATCTGAGGGACTGCCCTTTGTCTGGGCAGGCATCCAGTTATTCCCAAGTGGAGCCCATTCCACTTGTTGGAGGTGGGGTGCCTGTCCCATTGCTGGTGGGGGCAGCCGGTCCATTGCTCTTAGGATGGAGCGCTGCCTCCCTTTTGGAAGACAGTATTAGTCTTGCTGGGGCCTCTCTGGGAGCTGTTAGTGGTGTGTCCGCATGGAGTTGGGGGAGCATCCTGTTCCTCTTGGGGAGGGACGGTCTCATGTGGACAAGGACTCTAGTCCTGTTCCTCTTCCCTTGAAGACTGGAAAAGCATCCCTTTGCTCCATGGCCCTCCCCCCAGCCCTGCAGGCCCCAATTGCATCAGCAGCAGGCCAAGGAAGTGTCCGGTTCTGACGGCCACGGGACAGGGATCCCATCACTCAGCTTGCCCACTCCCGTCTACCCAGCCCTGCCCTGGCTTCCCCACTGCCCACCTGCTCCCAACCCCTGCCATCGCCACCTACCTCCTGAGCTGTCAGCGCTCGACTGGCGGGACACCGAGGCCCCGGGGCCGCACCGGGGACTACATTTCCCAGCGGCCCCCGCGCCACAGGAGGGTCCGTCGCCGGCAAGTCCCGGCATGCGCGGCCGACCGTGGGGGGTGGGGTGGGCTGCCCGCCCCGGTTAACTCCTTGTATTCTGGGGTACGCTGGGCTGCTACTCCGGAAAGGTCACGTCAGCGAACGCCCTAACCTCTCCACCGCCTGCCCTCGGGCGAGGAAGCTGAGCTCTCCATCTCGGACCAGGAAGGGGATGGACCCGTGGACCTCAAGGAGGTCCAACCTCCTTTTCAGGTCCAACCTCCACTCCCTCCAGCTGGCCAGCTCTGACCTCTGCTGGAACTCTTCCCCCCGAAATAATTATCCTGTCCCAACTTAAGGAGAACAACATTATGAAGAATCATTATTCCCCGTTTTCTAGGTGAAGAAACTGACGCTCAGCAGGGTCAAACAATTTGACCGAACTCCTGCAACTAGCAAGGGGCAAAATTGGGCGTCAGCTGAAAGTCTGACTCCAACTTCTTGTGTCATTGACTCTGTCACACCTGCCCTGCTACCTCCTTAGCCTCTCATGTTGTGCCTGGCGGCGAGGGGCAGCAGACCTGCCTGCCTGGCGGCTGTTCGAGGATAACGGATGTGATCGCAGCTCATACAGGTGCAACCCTGATCACTTGTGTAGAGACTGGGCTCCCCTAGGGGAGGAGACGACTAGGGAGGGTCCCCTCAGTTCTCAAGCCAGCTTAAGGAGGTGCTTTGTTGTCAAAACTCTTATTCCAGATTCAGGGATTCACACAGGGCCACAGACACTTGTCAAAGTCCCATCTCCTTTGGGGTGTTTATTTCCCCATGTAAGGTAAGGCGGTCAGCTCAGATATGGGTGCTTAGGACCAGTCTCTCCACCATACCACTAAGCTGTAAGCTCCCTGAGGCTGGTTAGGTCTTTTCCCAGCACAGTTCTGGCACACAGTTGGCCCTCAGAATGTGTTTGTTGTACTAGTGATTAATTAATGGACTATTTTAATGAATATACTTGCTCTCAAACTCTGGCCCAAAAAAGAGTGCCCCATCTGCTTTCTCTGAATGGGAATTTCCACCCTAAAGATCACTCTAACTGCATAATCTCTTCCAGAAACAAATCTTCTTCCCAGTCATCCTCTTTTCCTGGAATCACACACAACACAAATGGAGCTCAAGTTTATTTGAATTTGCTTTCAAAATTCCCCCTGGGCAGGGGGGGTGGGGAGCACAAATGAGAAAGGGGATTGATTCAGACCCTTAGAGATAAAGAGGGTGAGGGAGGTCACTGCAGGAAAACAAGGGAACCTCAATACCAGCCCTGTTATTAATGCCAAAGGCTGGCAGAGTCTGGGGAAAGTGGATGGGGGTGGTGCATTTCACAGAGGAAGAAACTGTAGGTCTTTAGGGTCCTCCCATGTGAGGGGGGTCACATGGGCGGCGGTTCTGTTTTTCCAAACTCTAGTCTCTCTTGGGAATTAGGGCTAAGGCCCTGTGCCCTTGGAGGGTACCAAGTTCAGGCCTAGACTCAGGGAGGGAGAGGTGGGAAGTCTTGAACCTAGAGCTGTGAATTGAACTACTAAAGCTACAGCTACAGGAATCAGATTTGCTGGTGGGCCAGGGGTGGGAAGGTTGGTGGGGGGACTGGCAGGGCTACAGGTCTTCATGGCTGCTGTTCTCCTATTCTGCTGGGTCCGGCTAGGGGAGCAAGTACAGGAGTAAGGCATAGTGGAGGAACAGCAGCACCACCCCTGCCAGGTCCCAGTGCAGGGAGCTCCTAGCAGCCCCTGAGGCTGCCTGGTTGAAGTGGAGGTTCCCATCCAGCTGGAGGCAGCTGCTTGAAGCTGAGGCTTGGCAGCACTCCTGGTAGCAGGGCTGAGCCACAGCCCCATGACACCTGGGGGTCTCTGCCATGCAGGCCTGGCTGCAGCCTGCAGTATAGCCTGAGCTGGACTGTTTCAGCTGCAAGAAGAGATAGAATCATTCATCCTCTCCTTGGCCCTCTCCCTACTCACAGAGGCATAAAGGGTTAAATGGGGCTATAGCCCAAGCTGAACCTCCCTGCCCCCTACCTCCCTCCCCAAGAGTTCAGCCAGCCCTTGTCCAGAGAACATACAGGGTGATAAGAAACAAGGAGGCGTGTCATGGAGACTTGGAAAATTCCAGCTGTTGCCCTGGATTTTGGCATAGTGCAGAGCTGAGAGGGTCAGAGTACTAGACCCTGGCAGCCTGGCTTTCCACAGGTCTAACCCCAGCCAGAAAGGGCTGCTGACTTCATCCAGGCAGGAGGAGGAGAAAGACCTGCAGTTCCGAGGAAGGACAGCACCTCCACCCGTGGAGCAGTTCTGGGACCCACCTCACAGAAGTCCAAACCCTCAGGGCACCCAGCCACAGCTTTCTGCCCCTCAAAGCAGTCACTGCCTTGGCAGGAGAAGGTGGCACAGATTTTTCCCTGGAAGAGAAAGTGGAGGGAAGGTTGAGGGACGATGAGCTCTGTTTAGATGGAACAAGGGACTGAGTGCCAGACAGAGGGGAGCCTGCACCGCCCCACGTGTCTGTCCCACTGGCCCCAGCCACCACATGGCTGCAGGTCCTGCTGCCACCTCCCAGAGCAGGCAGGTGTGAGGGAGGAGACACTCACGTTTCTCTTGGGGGCTGGCAGGGTGGTAGCCACCAGTGTTGGAGTGGGAAGCAGCTTGTCCTCTGCGATGGTTGGGTGACCTAGGCCTGGGAGCAGAGCAAAATTGCCTGGAAAGCACTGTGACACCCCCACAACTGGGGGACAACTCCACGGCAAAGTCCCAGCTCTACCCCTAGGAGGGTATTTCAGGTGCGGGCGGGAGGCCCTTGCCTGAAATCCTCTCTGTGGTCAGAGTATAGGAGTTTGCCCTGGCTTCCTTGGAACTTGGAGGGGATGGGGAGCACTGGCTCACCTGGGCTGGGAGAAAGCAGGGGGCGGATGGGGGCATGTGGAAGGGGGTAGGGCACTGAAGGCAGAAAGTTCAGACTTGGGGAGCTGATGAAGAGGATCAGCCAGACAAGGTTGGAGGTGAGGGAGTTACTAGGGGTTGGTGAAAAGTGAGCTCAGATACGAGGGCCTGTCAAAGGGTAGGCTTCTGAATTGGGAGAGATAGGGTGGGGCTCAGTGTTTACGGGGTCATTGGGAGCAGGAATCAGACAGGGGGCAAAGCAAGTAGGGTCCAGAGCAGGCTGGTGGGGCTCTCACCCGAGGTCGACTCATCATTGAGTGCCAGGCAGAGGGGACCCTTGCTGCAGCACTGCAGAGTGCAGGGGCTTGGACTCAAGTTGCCAGAGGGCAGACAAGGGCTGAAACTGGTTTCATTTCCTGCCTCACAACTGAGGCTGCACCCAGCCATGTAGTGGGAAGCATTGAATTGAACCAGCTGGGTAAAGAGAATCCAGGAGGGGGTTGGGGAGATCCAATCTCAGCATCTCCCAGCAGCCCCAAAACTTCCTGCTCTCCCTCCCACTTCCCAATCTCTCCCAGCACCTTACTCTACCAGAATGTCAGCCCCTCCAATGACCCTGCTCCCCTCTCTGCAGCAGCCCCTCCAGCAGCTCTACCTGTGGCCCACACAGCCCCACCCCCACACCTTGCAGTGGTGCTCCCCATGTCTGCACTTTGCTGTGCGGCTGGAGAACTTTGCTTCCTGGTAGCACCTCTCTCCGAAGCAGTGGAAGCTGTGGCATGTCTGTGGAAGGGTTGAACACTGTGGCCCAATCCCCTGGGGTGAAGGCATCCGGGCCTCTCACCCTTCTTTCTTATGCTTCTTACCTGGGAGGGCGCAGGAGTCACCTGACTTCTCACAAGGTTCTGGGCTATTGGTAAGACCAGCAGGAGGACTGGTAGGAAAAAGAGGACAGAGGACCCTGGAGGAGTAACCAACTCAAGCATAAAATCAAGGGAAGGTCATGCTGTGGTTAAGTAGAACAGATCATGAGGTCAGAGCAAAGTAGGGGCAGCCCCAGGATCCAGCAGTGTTCACAGGTTAGGATGGGTCACAGGCCCCAGGAAAGGCTGGGGTCCCTGGACTCAGGACAGCTACCTCTGAGCAAAGGAGCCCTATGGCTACTAGTGGCCACAGACATCTTCTGTCAGGGTGCTTGCAAATGCTGGAGAGTGAAGGACCAGTCCTGGGCCGCTCAGGTGAGGGCTGCAAACAGAGACACCCATTATTGTGTTATGCAGATGAAAAAACTGAGGCTGGGGAGCAGGGGAAGTCAACCTGGAGGGAATAAGGGGTCCCACGGGCTGGGCCTTTGCTTCCCACAAGTCATACTATCAGAGTGACACTGAGGCAGGCACAAAGGGGACTGCAGCCTAGAAACAGCCCCTCTGAGAGTGAGTGTTGTTGTCGGCATGGCAACAGCAGCATCCAAGGGGAGATGAAGCTGGAGCAGGTGCAGTGACAGGAAACAGACATCCGGTACCACTGACTGGCCGCATCTGTCTCCACCTCAGATGTTAGTGGGGTGGGGGTGGGGTTGATGGGCTTCCTTAGAACCCAGGGCAGGGAAACCCTGGGTCACAAAGAGGGTGAGAAGTCAGGCTTACCTTTCCAGGCTCTTCAGGGTTCCGTCTTCACCCTGTTCCTAGAACAGAGCTGAGCCAAGGGCAGGAGGTAGCTCTCAGACCCTGGATATCTGGATCCCAGCTCTGTCTCCTCATTTACTGAGAGCAGATTTGTAAGCTAAGCCTGAGGTCAGTTTTTTCTATGCAAGGAAATCTGCTGGTGACGAGAGACTGGAACCACATTCCCACCCAACACCGGGAGGCCGAGAGCAACCCAGCCCCCCATATTCCCAGGGCATCCTTTCCCCTGTCCTCATGCCTATCGTCCTCCCTCCGCATCTGGATGGGTCTGACAGCTGCCAGAGCGACGTGGTACGGAGAGGAGCCTGGAGCTAGGAACTGCTCTGGTCTGGGCCCCTTCTGGTGGTGCTGAGTACAACTCTGTAGGTGCATTGATTCAGGATCCAGGGTGCTGAGGTGAGGTGGGATAGGACCCCTGGGTAGTAGGGGCCACTGCTCTCTCCACCCGCCCTTCCCACCAGGAGCCTCAGCCCCTCTGTTGTTCCCAGCCTCTAACAGGACACTCAGCAAATGCTCCTTAGTCAGCGCCTGTCTGGGGATCACAGAAGGATGTTAGTCAAGAGAAGGGAGCAAAGATTCTACCCAGGTCCCCATGCCCTTGTGAAGGGAAGGGCTCTTCCCCTCCCTGAGTGGGTAGACGAGGCTGGCGGGACAGCTCGTTGGCGTGAGAGGCACTCAGCAGAATGGGAAAGTGGGCAAAGCCTGGCGACCTCCTCGTCTGGATGAGTTCTAGCTCCTTACCCATCTACTCTAGTCAGTGCACCCCTCCACAGCTTGAGAGGACATCCTCAACATTCCCAGCGCCCACCCCATCCCAACTGCAGACCTACCTGCACACCTGAAGGTGCGGAGGGCAGCAAGCGTGTGTGAGTCAGGAGGCTCAGGTGAAGCCCCTGGAAGCTCACGGCTGCCTCTCCTTCCCTCCAATCATTTGTCAGCTCTGGGAGTTCCCTCTGACGTTGCAGCCACTGGGGACCCACATGGGCCACAGGCACAAGAAGGAAGCATAGCCAATGTCCAGACTAGCTGGAGGGAGAAATAAAACCAATTGGCAACTTGGGCAGTGCCAGAGCCCACCAGGCCAGGAGCACTTTGGCTGACAGTGGAGAGTAGCGTGGGGAGAGGCTGCAGGCCCATCCCCACCATGAGAACTTGGAGGTGAGGCTGACAGCAGGACCTGAAAGGTGAGCAGAGAGGTAGCCATCACCCCAATAATTAAAAAGAAATAATAATGCAGAGGGAAGAGAAAAATCTCAGAACTCTGCTCTTTCCTTGCCATGCCTGCATGCCCTTTGTTGAACCCTCCAGCACAAGAGACTCCACGGCAAGGACCAGAAGGAAAGCAGAGGAAAGGGATGAGCACCTGAGGCAGGCCACATATTGGTTTGCTTTCCTCAGAGGTGTCAAGTGAGGAAACCCCTGTTCCCAGGAGGTTGGTCCCGGGATCAGCCTCTGGGGTCAACCCCAGGAACACCTTTGCAAACACTTCCTGCCTGGGCTGGGAGGGCAGATGGAATCCCCTGCTTCTCTCTCCCTGAGGAGTGAACTGAATCACCTGTTTTCTGCAGGAAACAGGTGGCAGAGGGCAGAGGTCCAGATTCCATGTCTAAAGAAGAGATCCTTACAAGACTTAAGGATCGAATTCCTTAAATGCCCCCCAAAATGGGGAGCATTTGTGAACATCTAAAATTGTGTGTCAAAATGCCTATGCATATATATTTTTGTAGAAAGTTCAGTTATCTTTGCATTTCCAAGAGAATCCATGATCCTAAAAAGATTAAAAACTACTAAGCCAAGAAACAGCACCCTTCCGCTCCTTCCCTGCCTGGCCAGGAGGCTCAGCTGAAATCCAATTGTTCCTATCGCAGAGCCCAAAGCGTAGACTTCAAGCAATCACTTCTGAGAATTCCCACTGTGCGGGCTTGCTGACCTGCACTAACAGCTCCGTGCCTGTCGAGACCGGTGGAGCTGGCCTCCCTCCTGCCTGTGGAGACTGTGACTGAGCCTCCTTACCTCTGGCTCTGCACCTGCCACCCCACTTCCACCTAATTCTCAAGATTTGTAAACCTAGCTGTGCCTGGCACATGGAAGATACTAAAAAAAAAAAAAAAAATATTTGGACAAATATAACAATAAACAGAAGCAAATTTTGCCCTATCAGAGAAGCCCCAGGTTTCCTCCAAGGCTGCTCTGGCGCTTGGTTCAGTTGTGTGGGCAAAGGTGTTGGCAGCTCCCCAGACCTGGTCCCACCTCCCCTCCACAGTCAAGAAAACAGGCCCTTGGGATGCTGCATTTACCCTGCAGTTGGGGTGCCTACTTCTAGAGAGGCTTCTGAGGAATATGTCAGCTGGAAAGCAGCAGGTGCAACTTGTGGGTGTCAGATACTGGTCCAATGGGAAAGCAGACAGGACACCTCCCTCCCCATTTTCCATTTCCGAGGTTTTGTCTAACTCTTCCCAAATGACAGTGTCTCTTGGCGCTCCGGGCCAGCTTTTGGTAATCAGTGTTTCTAGTTGGCTCAATTAGGTTGAATTATCCACTCACTCTGCTTCAGAAGCTCAGGCCCCGGAGAGGTGGCAACTGGGGTTTTAAGCAACTAGAGGAGCCAAAGCAAACGAACATGTGAGTTGCCCAAGGGACAGGTGAAACCAAGAAGGAAAATACCAACCCAGGATGCAGTGCCATGGGGGCTGGAGTGGTAAACCCTATTGCCATGAGAGGACAAGGGAAATAGTTACATAAGAAGGAGAGAGCCAGTCTGGAGCTGGGATTTTTATAAATATATTGCAAATGGCAGGTGTGAAGTAGGCACTGGCCTTCAGATGACTGTGCCTACAGGCAGAGAGGTTGTCCTTTTGGCTTCCTAGTTCTTTCCAATTGGGATACCAGATTTTGGGTGAGCCGCTTGTCTACCTGTAGGGTAAGTGAAAAAGTATCAGGCTTTTCTGCCCCGCCTCCCCCGCCCTGGCCATTAGGATTGATGATAGATCCTTGCAGTCCTGAATGCATGCCTGATGGCGGGCATCTGGAATAGGGTGTGGGCATATGTAAATGGGATTCACCTGGGCTAAGACTGGGCTTATAAGGGCGGCGTCACGGGGACGCCAGCAGAACCACGAAAGCAGAGAAGCAGAGAGAATGAGAGCTAAAGAGAGAGCGAAAGAGAAGCAAAGACCACCAGAGAATACCAGAGAGACCAGATAGAGTGAAGACTTGCTTACCAGCCTCCTGGCCCCCCAGCACCCCTGCCAGCTGTGTACCTAGTAAATCCTAATAAAAGCCTGCAAAAGCCACCTGAGGACTCTCTCCTCCTTTATCCCGTCTGCTCAGGTCATAGATAACCTGCTCTGGCCCTTCCTGCCCCTACACTACCCCAATCTTGCCTATCTGGGCTTGGTGAACACAAAATATTAGCCGCTTGTACAATCAAGCAAGGACCTTATGGAATAAATAGACAGATCGCTGACTCTCATTTGTGGTCACTACAGGTGCCAGTTCCCTGGTGTGTCGGACTGTGGAGGTGAGTGGAAGGCGCGGGGCTGTAGGCCCGTTCCGAAACGGCTCAACTCCACTATGAAAATAAAAAGGGAAAACCCTTGGTGCCTCAATTTTGTCCTTTGCAGAGGCCAAGGCTTGCTCTCCCATTCCCGCTAGTGTGTGCATGACTGGATGATTCAACTACGGGCAGGGCTTATCCCGGGTGATGCTCATTTGGGGATGTGAGGGAAGAGGTTAGGTCAGATTTATCTAATATACGCAACATACAAGGTGCTTATTGAACCTTAGCTGCTAGTGATGTTTGCGAGAAAGAGGTAGGGAGGTGTTAAGAACTAAAGGGTTGGTTAGTCTATAACCCAGGGCTTTAGAACAAAACACAGAACAAGGGTTGGTTTTATTTTTTGAATCTTTTTTAATATAAAACAAAGATAAAACACATCTCAACCCTGCAATCTACCAGCATGCCTTGTATCCTCAAGACGCATGCCAGACCATAAGACTACATAGCAAAGTCTTTATAAGCATTCGGTAGGGAGAAATAGAAAAAAGCAGGCTTTAGGGGACACATGGGCAAGCCTGCACACTAGAGGAGTCCCTGTCTTTTCAGATCCTCGTATGTCTTCTTATTCACAACATTTCCACTGGAATCTTCATATTCTTCCTAAAAGGGAAGGGGTACAGTTAGCTACATTTTCTTGGAGAACTGCTTGGAACCAGTTACCAGGGAGAGCTCTGGTCTGATCCCATGTCACATCCTCATACCCCGCGGTGAACTGGGGACCATCTTTTACCTCCCTTCCATGTAGTGAGGGAGCTGTGACACTATCTCCAATGCTACGTTAGCACCCACCTCAGTATCAGGCTGCCATCGTTCTGATGCCTTCTGCAGTTTCAGCTTGGCCCACACTGCGGATGAGAAATGAGCAGCAATCAAAATTGACAGAGTATGGACTGGGCACATGGTTACAACAGACCCGCATAAGGATCTCCTCGGATGACCCTGTCTTAAGAGAATTTTGCTTGCCCCGAACTGGAATTTTGGCTCTGGACTATACTGCAGACCAAAGGCCCTTCTGCTGCAAAAATTTACCAGAATCTTATCTTTGCTGCAAAGGAAAAGTTGGGTCAAATATAACTAAAGGCCCTTAGAAGTGAAGTGAGAACTGATACTCTTGAAGGAAGAAGTTAATCTGGTACAATCTATGGGAATTATGAGAAACAGTAATTTTACTGTCTTATCAAAGTTCATTATAGAAGAGA